CTCCACTTCATCCTTCTACCTCACGGTATTCCAGAGATTTGTGACATTTTTAGTAACCAGTGCAATTTCTTGATTCATTTAAGTTGTTGAAGAGTTCAGGTGATGATTACTGTAAGTCACTATGACCCATAAAGCCACAAAAGGGCGACGCCAGTTTGAAACAAATGTAAAGAAAACGATTAGGGTTTAATATTAAGTTCTGGTCAATTATATAATTGAACATGTATACTAAAATACAATCTGATATTAAACATTAATTAAATGAGTGATAACCAACCATTTGGACAGCTGACACGTCACAAAAGATGAAAAACAAAAATAAAGCTTATTCAGGACCCCCTAAACAGAATTCTTGTTTCCTGTGTTCTATACTAATTTTCTTATGATATATATTGTATGATATATATATATATATATGGGAAACCATTGGTGCTTTTTTGTGATTAATGATATACAGTACAAGATATCACATGGCCTTTAGGTGTTATTCCTATTTGTGTGCAGTTCACACACAAAAGTAGCTAGCTCAGCCACCTTGCACTTATGTAGTGTATGTCATGTTTCTTGTGTAACAACGGGAGACCAGTTTCTACTTTATATTTGAGTATAATGAAGTTGATTTAGAGATGATGAAAAAGTCATTCCCAAAAACACACATTAGGCACCACAGCTAAGTTACAGCTAACTGGCTAAAAGCCACAATTCAAGCTATTGTAGATAGCAGTGTTACACATATTTGCTTTATGGTTTAAAATGATTTAACTGACAGTTAAACAACACTGTTTGACATTGTCAATAAGTTAGTATCATGGATCATATTTAGAGTTGAAATTATTTGGCAAGCTAAATCACTTCATTATCTGCTACATACTTGTAGTGTCAGATACATTTCTGTTTTCTTGCAACTTTCAGGTTGGTTGCCCCTCCTATGTGCATTTCAAACCTCCTATTTAGTGCAATGCATTGTCGGTAATTTCATTTGGCAAAGTCGAGGGGCATGTTGGTTTGCTGGCTTTTCTGTCACTTTACTTTGTCATATAAGAAATAAACAGAGGTGTACATGCTACTTGTACATCTGAGTCTGCACTCATATGTCATATGAAACCAGCTACATTTTTACTTAAAACAGTACTGCAAACTAAACGTCGGACCACCTTTATGGGCTAAAGAGGCAAAACAAATTGAAGGATAAAGAATAGTATAAACAGGCATGTGGTGCCCCCATATAGAAATGTTGGCAGAAATACAAAAGTGCAGAGAAATTTGTCAAAGTGCACCACTGGAATGATGAAGTCATTACACTAGGACAGGTCCTCAATGCACTTGCGCACATTTTTAAGTGAGGTCATGCTAGAAATCACACTGAAAAACATAAAAGCTGCCTCACCCTGGTGGGGTCAGTGACTTCTTTGTACTAGTTTACTGTCGCTGCAGCTGCACTAAGCTTCTAATACAGCATCTCTAACCTAAGCTTGGTTGTTACTGCAATGACTCACTATTGATCTGCTCATTCAACTCTTTCTTTACCAAAATATATGAACAAATTTTACTTATGTCTGTAAAAGTGTGTCAGTAGAATTTAGCTGAGGGTGCAGAGCGACCTTTTTGGACAGCCCGGTCCCCCAAGCCCCACCCATATTGCCAACACTGCAGGGAGCCCTCATGCACTTGATGATTTGACAGTGGGACAGTCCTGAATCCTCCTGGGTTTTAACGGAAACATGACTCAATGTTTGTAAATTTGTGACAGTGGACATTGGGCCTAAGAGTTCAAAAGAGGACCCAAATGCAGCACAAAATTAATTTAACAAACTCACAAGTGATGTGAGCAAAATGTGCTGCAAAATACTGACAGGATACAAAGTCCTTAAACTGAAAAAGGCAGAGATGGAAACCTGGGAGTGCAAGTATAGAGGGAAACTCATGTCTTCACACTCAAGGCTGAGTGGAAAATGAGATATAGGTGGAAACAAAAAATGAGATATAGGTGGAAACAATTACGGACTCACAGGGGGGGGATTGGACAAAGACAGAAAGGAAAAGACAGAAAGGAAAACAACAAAATACACATAAGGAAAAGCATTTACCAAAGTACAGGGTGGGCCATTTATATGGATAAAATGGGAATGGTTAGTGATATTAAAGTCCTGTTTG